CCCCCCACCCCACAGAGGTCACACGAGGGCTTTGAGAGTCTACCTGCCAATGATGGGGGTTTGCTGCCCAGGCCGGTCAACAATCTGGTGGGTGATGCAGGAGTCTGTGATGTCATAGGTGGCTCCGATACACAAAGACTTGTCCCAGGACACATCCCCACCAAAACTCCTACAGGTCCAGGGAAAACCTGTAAGCCTTTTAGGCATGAACTGCTTGCCCTGGAAGCTTCTCTGGACCTACTAGTCACAAACCCACCCTTCAAGGAAGTGCCTCCTGTTTGGGAGACACCTAGCACTCCTAGTCCAGTAGGGACTCAGCCAGTGACAGGAAGGACAGCAGCTCTCCCCTCAGTTGTGCTCTGAAGGTGTCTGCCTGAATGCTCTGCACACGGCTTTGAGCCGAGTGGAGACACCCTCATGATGTTACCATCAGGCCTCTAGGCTAAGATGGAGACTGGACTACTGTACAGCCCCAACTATAGGCTGGCTAAAGGCCTCTCTCTGCACCTGATGATAAAGGCCAATGCTTCACGGGGCACCTCTCGGTTCAGGAAGAATTTCAGGCCTTCGAAGAGTTTCTTTTGTTTTTCCTGTGCCTCCAGCTCTTTCCTGCGATCTTCCTCCTGTGCTGTCACCTCCTGTAGAGAAGGGGCCAAGCTTCACACCACCAGGCCATCCAGCTCCACCAGAAGGAAGGGACTGGCAGCTTCCTTCTAGATCCCACAGATTCTAGGTGATGACCCGGCCCCCATCCTCCCCCATGCTGTGCACTGCCAGAAGGCAGCACACTGCTCACTCACCCCATCAGTAGGAAACTCATCGGCCTCAGCCTCCTCTATATTAGGCACCACCACTCGGGCCAGACTGGCACTGAGCGCTGCTAGTTTCTGTAGGTGGGAAGCACAGCCTCATCTGGGTGTGGGGTAGGGTGGGGAGCAAAAACAGTTCCAGGCCACATCTGGGTCTGGGCACTAAGGTAAGTCATAAAACCACCCACTTAGCCAAATCACCTACTATTCATGGGACAGAATGACGTAGGGCTAATACCCCAAGGTCCTTCTTACCTCCATAGAGCTCTCAGAATCCAATGCATATGTGTCCTCACTGATCTTTGTCTCTGCCTGGGCTTGACCTTCTAGCTGGAAAGTAAGAGGACAACTACAGCCCCGAGCCTCAATATGTGACTAGAAGGGCTAGATCCAAGCTAGTGAGAAGGTGCTAGGGCTCTACCTTGGGTGGATAGTGAAGGTTGAGTGACTGGTAAAGGCGGAAGTTCACAAAACCCAGAAGAGTGGTATAGAACTCAGTGAAGGTGGCCATGACCCTGTAGTCCACATCTGTTGGATGCTGGGGGTATAAAGAGACACATCAGCAGTGTTAAGCACAGGGTTGGATGTAGGTGTTATGCACACAAACTCACAGGCATCTCAAGTACAACACAGGCTCTGGATGCAGGACCCAAAGGCTATGAGTACATGGAGATCAGTGCCAGGATCCCATATGATAAAGGGGAGTCAGGCTAGAGACAAGGGAATTAGTCCACAGTGCACCATTACAGCCGACCCTACCTCTTCCTGGCCCTGACTCTCCCACTCCTCCCTCAATTATCAGTGAGACCTAGACAGAACACACACCTTGTCTACCACCCACATCCCAGCACGTGCCTAAGATCTGCTTCAGGGCTTGCTGTGAGCACTAAGGCAGCCTTTCCAGAGCCCAGCAAGGCCTAGGTATATAGCTCATGGTCCATGGCCCAGAAGAGGTTACCCCAAGTCCCACTGCTGCATGCCCAAGCACTGGCTGCCCAGGGGAGGGGCACACGAGGGTCCTTGTTACAACTACCCTTTGCTGAGAGGAAGCAGTTGGCAGCAAGCTGGGAGGAAGGAGGCATGGGCAGCCCATGCCCCTCTCCCAGGGCCAGCTGTGTGGAGGCTGGCCCTCAGAGGGCCCTATTCAGCACCCTAAGGACACACAAAGAGCAGTCTGAGAAGCACGGGGGTTCGACATCAGAGTTAAGGAAAGACAGAAAGGGCCAAAGAAGAAGTTAGGCAGGAAGGAGGAGGGAGGAGCAGGGAAGGAAGGGCCATGCACCCTGGCTCCCCAAGCCTGCCTCAAGGAACTGGAAAAGGGACTGCTGAACTCCAAATCTACCTCTTGCCCACAGACATGGCAGGGTCCAGCCTCAGACACCCTCTGTAGCCTGGTGAGCTCAGAACCTCAGCTCACTCTGACAGCTGTTCTCTATGCAAGGTACCAATTCCTGCTTAATGAGCAATCAGGAAGGGAGATCAAGTACAGCCACAGACAGACAATGCATGGTGCAAGCCTGGCTAGAAATGACCTTCTGGGGGACTGGGAGCTAACAAGGCTTCCCTGGAAAGCAAAACCAGACTCCTCTTAGCAGGGCCCTAGGAAGAATCCCAAGCACTTAAAAAGAAGCCAATAAAAGCCAGGCTATGTGCTAAGTGTCTCGCTTGTGCTCACTTCTCCAGAGTCACCCTATGTTCCAGGCTATGGGGAAGATGGGGCAAAGAGGAGACAGGAGTGAAGCACTTTTGTTATGGTGTGTAAAGTGGGTCTGAGAGGAGGGGCTGGGCTCTGCCACTTGATCCAGGTGGAAGTGTACAAAACACTGGGTATACTCAGCTCCCAGAGCTGTCCTCATTGCCCAGTCAACCACAAAGGTTGCTACCCCTTCAGTACCAGGTCCTTTCAAGACTTCTTTCCCCTGAAGTCCTCATGGCAAGGCTGAGAAATGGGAACAGGTTATTAACTGAGCCAGAAAGGCGAAGGAACATGTTCAAGATCACCTAGCACAGTGGTTCTCAATCTATGGGCTGCCTAAGACCACCTACAAACCAGTTATTTATATTATGATTCATAACAGCAACATTACAGCTATAAAGTGAAAACAAAAATAATTTTATGGTTGGGGGGTCACTACAACATGAAGCATTAGGAAGATTGAGAACCACCTCTCTAGCAGAAGTGCTGGAATGGAGCACGCTTAGTTATGATTAACCTATGGGTCAGAGTGTACATATGACACTGAGAATTCTGTGACTGATCTAACACTAGTGACTGACTGGGCTATGAAGCACATGCCCTACCCTGTCCCCTCATCCCCAGCCCTGCATAGCAGCCAACAATCAGGAACCCAGCAAGGGCTAGACTCCAAAGACAGCACCCCTCCCACACCTTTCTAGGAACCAACTCAAGGCCCCCAGGAAAGGCACACTTACATCATGGGAGAAAGCATAGGGTGCAATCCATACGATGGGCTGCCCCAGCACCTCAGCCTGATAGTAAATGCCTTTGATGGACAGGAAGACCTGGGGGTGGGAGGCGACACAACAGTATGAAAACCAAGGGGTGACAGAGGAGGTCCAACAAGCTCCAGGATAGTCTCAGCTCACTTTGCGCAGGGCTCGGGCAGCGATGACGTAGTGCATGAACTCCACAATGAGCCGGCGACATAGCTGAATGGTCTGCACATGGCACTTGCCCGTCCGTGGGAAGGTGGAGAAGAGGAAGCACATTGACAGGGCATCATCGAGATCCCTCAGAGCATCAATAAATGTGGGGTACCTGTAAGTGGGGAGGGCAGCGCTTGTGAGCCCATTCTGTTGCACTCCAAGGGTCTCTAACCACTTTGCCCACCCTGGTAGCTACCCCAGAGGCCCTGACAGCTGAGCCAGACACTGCCACAGATATTTCCTCAGCGGGTGGTATAGCAACAACTTCCCCACAGTTGGCCATGCACCTGGGAACAATCCTATAGCCACTGAAGAACTAGGATGTTCCTGGTGAACTCCCATGACCCCCAGACCCAGCACAGAAGCCCCCACCACTTGTTATCTTTTCGTGAATGAGAGACACCAAGCTGGTGGCTCTCTGACTCTCTTGAAAAATGGAATCTTCAAAGGCCCATGATGAAAAAGGGAAAAATGGAAAGCTGACCTAGTGGGCCAGGAAGAAGAGTGGGATTGCTTCCCCAGCAGCACCTGCCCCTGGGCTTGGCTACACCTGAGTGGGTCTTGTCTTCGTTTCTCACCATATAGATCCGTGTAACTGACAGAACTAATGTAAAGTGTTGACACTAGGACAAAGTCCAGTTAGAGTAAGAACATATTTCCAGGAACCCCAAAGAAGCAGACAAAGTGTCACTTGGGCCAAGAGCCACCACTGCTTTGATAAGTTTCCAGAGGGACAGAAGTGTGGGACAAAGAGAAGACACTGAACCACAAGTCTTGATACCTGGACTCTAGTCCCATTCTGAGCTGTGACCTTAATTGGGTCACTAGGCCTCATTTAGCTCCAGCTTTATCTAGAAAATGACATGGCTGAACAAATTGCTGACTTAATAGGGTATCTTTAACCAGATGTGGTGGTATACCACTTGGGAAGCTGAGGCAGGAGGATCATGAGTTCCAGGTCAACTACAGAGGAAGACCTTATCTCAGAATCAAACTAAAATTAACCAAACCAAGCCACCTATCCATCTACCTCTTGTGGCTCTAAACACACCCTAAGTACAGATGAATCTACAGGGCTTCCAGTTTCCCTCCTCAAGCTAGGCTGCACTGGAGTGGCTCGACACCTGAACCACATTCTAGGAAGCTTAAAGAAAAGGGTTTTCCAGGGGTGGTAATGGTAGTCTTTAATCCCAACACTTAGGAGGCAGAGGCAGGCGGATCTCTGTGAGTTTGGGGCCAGTCTGGTCTACAGAGTGAGTTCCAGGATAAAGGCTTAGCAGGTGATGGGATGGATGTCTAGGTTCCTGAGGTAGAGGCAGGAACCTCCCTCATCCTCCCTGGTACCTCAGTTTCCTAACTTTCTACTTTGTAAGACAAGCACATGCCTCTTCTGGATT